GGTGTGTCGGCCCCCCCCCCCCCTTCCTGGCAAGGGCCAGTGTGGCATCTGTTTTATTACTTGTTACGCTGTCATCCTAGGCCCAGCTGTGATCAAGGTCCCCCCCCCCTTTGTGCGAGCCATTAGACCCACTCTTGTCCCTTCCCCTGAAGAGTTTGCTGCCGAACTAGGGTCCCAGACCAAGGGTGCCTTACGAGAAGCGGAGTCATGGAGGGGAAGTGACTTGCTCAACATCACAACACGGCTCCCTAGCAGAGCGGGGAATAAAACTCAGGTTTCCTAGTCCCTGTTCCAGAACTGTCTTTGCAGGACTGTACTGGTACGGCAAAGGGCAGAGTCATCCGGTTTCTTCTAGAAGCCCTGGCAGGTCATCCATGTGTACCCTGTTTGTTTCCTGCATTGCTGTCCCTGAAGCAGGACAGGCCTGAAATAAGAATCTGGGAGTAGGTGAAAGTGGGTACTTTTTAACCAAAGTTTGAGGCCACAGAAGTGCCTTGAGCACAGGTTACTCGGAGGCTAGGTTTTAACTCTCCTCACAGTACAGATCGAACCTCTGTTGTCTGTCATTCTCTGGTCTGGCAACATCCGTGGTCTGGCATGTGTTTAGTTAGAATGGATGTCCACTTATCCTGGGTGAGGCAAGTTTCCCAAGTCCTATAAAGTTTGTTTAGAGCCACCAGTCCTGCCTGTCAGTGTTCTATGCTGCTGTTTAGCTCTAATTGACCCCTCAGTGTTTTCTAAGATCTCGTTAAGCAGTGGAAGTGTGGGTACTGCTGCTAGACAATATTGACCTCCCGTAGTTTGGCAAACTCTCTGATTGGGCATCAGTCAGGTCCCAAGGGTGCTGGACTAGAGAGGTTCAACCTGTAGCAGTTAAGGGGCTATAAGTGTGACCCCATTTGTAGGATGGAACACAGGCAAGAAAGTTGCATGGTCTGAGCAGAGGACCAGGAATGTTAAGTTCCAAATTCCATGTGTCCTTCATCCTCGCTCAGGGGCGGATGAGAGTTTTGCGGGGCCCAGGGCAGCACAATATCACGGGCGCTCCCCCCTTTGGAGAAAAAACAGAAAAAAGGGGTCACCCTCGTGCCCACTCCTCCAGTAGCCCCACTCTGATCATGTGAGCTACCCCCTCCTTATCCCCTCTCCTAACACCTCCCTCTACACACCTGCCCTGCCTCTGTTCTCCTGGTGCTGGTCCCTCCCCTGCAGGTGTCTGCCCTTCTGCTTCATCCCCAGAATTCTCTGGCACCGGCACCGGCACCGGCACCTGCACCTTCCCTTAGCCCTGCACCCTCCTGGTGCCTCCCCCATCCCTCACTGCCCCTGCGCCCTTTGCCCTCTTTTTCCCTGATGCCCGCCCCCTCACCACCCTCTGACCCCATTCCCCTCATGCCCCTGTGCCCTCTCACATGCCTTGCTCCATCCCTGCCTTCCTCACACCCACCCCTCCTTTCAAGCCTTCTCCCAGCACCTCTCCCTCCCCCCTTTAGCCCTCAATGCCCTTACCCTCTCCTCTCCCAGCATCACCCTGTCCCCCTCCCACTAACACCTCCCCTCCTGCCCTTTTCCTCATTGTCTCCACTTGGCCCCCTGGCATTTGTCTCCTCCTCTTTCTTCTCCTGACCTGCCCCCCCTGCCTTCAGCACAAGCCCCTTCCTCTGCCATCCACCTTCTGCCTTCCAGTGTGCAGGGCGGCCGTGGCCCCAGCCCAGGCTCCAGGCCACGTGCCGAACCATGTGGTGCAATGCTGGGCCGCGCAATTTTAAAGTCCCGGGCCGTGGCACCATGCCACGCCCAGGCGTCTCCCCTCCCAGCTGTTGCCTGGTGTTTCAGCACGCCACGCACGCGCTCCCTCGGCCCCACGTGGCCTGTACTGGCCGGCGCCAGGGAATTTCAAAAGTGCAGGGTTGCGGCGCCCCACCACAATCCTCCTTCCCTCCCCCAGCAGCTGCCCTTCGGCGGATGGCCCACCGGGAAATTCCCGGTATTCCGCCGGGCCAGTCCGCCCCTGGCGCTTGCGCAGGGCCTATTGAAGCGCGGGGCAGCCGCCTCGCTCGCCCTGCCCTATATCCGCTGCTGTCCTTGCTGCATGGCTTTGCGCAAAATTCTAAGTTTGTAGTTTTCACGTATTTATAGGATTAATAACTGGCCCTACCTTGCAGATGTGTTTGGGGGTGCAATCAGTTAATATTTGTAGGGCACTTTGAAGGTGAAAAGTGTTACTTATGTGCTAAGCATGATATTTTGCACATCCCAGGATCCTTATTGCAAAAGAAATGGCATACGTGGTCATTTTAATAAATCTGATGTGCTGTAGGCAAATGATGCCCTATTTTGACAAAAGTACTGAATTGAGTGCAAACAGTCTGCACGTTAACAAGATGTTGAGGATGGGTTTTGTAAAGTTATCTCCATTCTTGTGATGTGATTTGGAAACCAACATGAAGCATTTTCAATTAAAGGATTTCCAGAGTTCTTAAGTAATAGTGAGACACAGAGAAGAATTTAAAGAATGTTCATATGAAAACAGTTCCTGCATTCCCTTTATTTTAGAACAAATCTCTAGGAGATGATAATCACTGTATTGTTTCACAGATACTGGGTGTGAATGGAAAACAGAACTTGCCCAAGGAAAATTATGAACTTTGACAATATTCCCTCTGCTCTGGGTTTTCCCAGTTGGAGTGAGATGCTTCCAGTTTGCAAACATTAAGTTGCTCACGTCGACAAAAGCATGAGCACTAGAGATATGTCTGAGAACTATCACCTCAACCTGAACTGTGTGCTTCCTGCCAAGGGCCAGAATCCAGCAGAATATGAGCCGCTCAGCATAGTGGATGTGGAACCACAGGCAGCACAGGAAAGGCTCAGGATCTTGGAGCAGGACTTCATGAACAGTGCTGAGATGCAAATGAAAGTGGATTTCTTCCGCAAACTGGGCTACTCATCAGAAGAGATCTATGTTGTCCTCCAAAAACTGGGTTTAAATGCTGACACCAACACAGTACTTGGGGAGCTTGTGAAGCATGGTGCTGCAGCTGCTGACCGAGAGACAAACGATCCCCCACAGGAGGCCCCAGAAGCCCCATTGGTACCTCGTGGGTTAGTTGCCAACAAAACCCCTGCACCTGTGCCGTCATTGGAGGAAAATGAAGGCAATAACTTAAAACCCATTGTTATTGATGGAAGCAATGTGGCAATGAGGTAAGTTTGCCCTCTTAAGTGTGGATATCATCTCTTATTTTAATATGAGTGACAGTAGATTAAAAATGATTAAAGTGATTTCCTTACATTTCTTAAGCCTTTTTTTACTTTTTGGGTAACTTAGTACTTGTGAAAGGTACCAGATTAAAACCCCTGGATGCTTCTAAATTCTCCACAAAGGTGAGGATGGGCTGAGCTTTGGTAGACCGGTTTCACCAACATGTCTCATTCCCTCACCTGATGGGCAACATCTACAAATGTGAGGTTAAATCTGCCTTAATGGCCCATTCAGTGCTTGGTCCGTCTGCCATGACTTCTCACAAGTCTGCAAATGATGGGGACTTTTGTGCCCAGTGGGAACTTCAAATCTATTTCATATGAAATGCCAAAACTCTTCTGTTTAAATTAGTGAGCAGAAGTGAAATCCATGTGTAGTCCTGTTACCTAATTATTATATGTAAATTCCAAAAGCAGGAAGTTGATCTACAAATTTTTACAGACTTAATTAAAGGCATCTTACGTCTAGTTTCTACAACATTTTTGCTAAAACTCTTGGCAAATCTGCAGATTGGATGGAACAAAAAAGGGGCAGATTTCCAGTTTAGAATGACACCAGTTCTTCAGTATCGTTGACCGCTGGGAACAGGGGTCAGGTGGATGACTCATCTGTAAATCTCTCATATTTTCTGTTGAGGCAGCCTGTACTCTTTCATAACAGGTTTACTAGGCAAATTCAGCACTGACCCAGGCTGATTTAAAAGTTTTCAGCCTCATTTTGTCCCATAAGAATGGTGGAGAGGATTATTTGGTCAGAAGGGGGGGGGGATATGAGGAAGGCTCCCCTTCAGTGAATTCTCTTTTTGCACATAAAGTACTCTTATCTCTAGGTTTAAAAAAAAAAAATCAGTCCTGTGGAGCCAGTTGGCCAGAGGATAATATACTCCAACTTCAAATCTGAGTCCACCACTTCAATTCAAATCCAATTTTCTTTAGTTTAGATCTGATAGTCGTCTTCTCTCTTGTAATGAGAAGATAACTAAATGCTGGTGCTCATAGAACTACTCTAGATTTGCTTAGGGCTGAGGAAAGTTCTTTCTGGAGACTGCCGTATAGGTGTGGTTTTTTCCCCCAAGTCGGGATTGGCAGTATGGCTGAGTAAGACTGTATGAGGAAAGAAGGGGCACGTCCCTTTTCCTGACAGTGGCAAGGCCCAACTTAGCCAGTCTGAACATGCAGTACAGTGTTTGCATTCTGATGTGGACTCTGACTTATAGCTTTATAGCCAGCGCACTTGACCTGAAAGTGTGTGTAGTAGTGATGTAAGAGTGCAGCCGTTTAAAAGGGTAACCAGTAAGAATTGGTTACCTACACTGCTACACATGGCTCCCAGTCCAGCTCCCCGGGAGCCACCTGCCACCACTGCCTCTATTAGAGGCAGCAGCACGGAGCAGCAACTAGATCCCCCAGAGCAGGATGCCAGACAGGAGCCAGTGTGTGCCAGGAGCTGCCGCCCTGTGTGCAACCCCAGCGGTTACATGGTTGTCAAATGACATGTGTTTTAACATCCTTAGTGTGTAGGCAGGAGATTAACCCCTGTCCATTAATAATTGTTTCTCCAGTAAAAATGCATTTCCAAGCATAATGTGTTTCTAGAGGGTGGGGTAACTTATTTGAAGAGATGTGCTAGTGGGTAGTGTTAATTTTGTTGCAGAATCCTTTAACTCTGAATTTATTTATTCATGCAGTCAACATATTAGGCTGCAGTGGCCTCTTACCCCTGAATACCATTCCATCAAGCAAAGGCAAGAACATTGGCAGACCTGGTCACAGGCAGAGTACTGGAGTACTGTGTCCAGTTCTGGGCGCCACATTTCAAGAAAGATGTGGAGAAATTGGAAAGGGTACAGAGAAGAGCGACAAGAATGATTAAAGGTTTAGAGAACATGACCTATGAAGCCAGGCTTCATGAACTGGGCTTGTTTAGTTTGGAAAAAAGAAGATTAAGGGGGGACATGATAGCGGCTTTCAAATATCTAAAAGGGTGTCACAAGGAGGAAGGAGAAAATTTGTTCCTCTTGGTTTCTGAGGACAGGACAAGGAGTAATGGGCTTAAAGTGCAGCAGGGGAGGTTTAGATTGGACATTAGGAAAAAATTCCTAACTGTCAGGGTGGTCAAATATTGGAATAAATTGCCAAGGGAGGTGGTGGAATCTCCCTCTCTGGAGATATTTAAGAACAGGTTAGATAGACATCTGTCAGGGATGGTGTAGACGGAGCTTGATCCTGCCTTGAGGGCAGGGGGCTGGACTCGATGACCTCTAGAGGTCCCTTCCAGTCCTATGATTCTATGATTCTAGGTGTGAGGTGACTAGTCACCTTGATTTGTGACTGGGGAGGAAGATATTTGTTCAGCACTTTCATTCCATGAAATGACTGCAGAAAAGAATTGGCCCACCTAAGCATTTCAGAGTTAGTGGGATTTCTAGACCACCTGAGTGGGGTTTGGCCTTCTGCATTCGGGTGCTACATTGGGGAAGGAGGAGTTGGAGCATGTTCCCTAGGGGGGTGAGGCATCCAATGGTTAGGGTTTTTGTTTCTCCCCGCACTGTCATGTCTAGTTGCTGCTTCTTCAGAGGAGTAGTTGATTTACATATCTAGGTTTATGCCTTTCTTGCTGTGTTAAAACTTAAACAACAACAAATAGTGTAGTAGCACTTTAAAGACTAACACAACATGTAGATGGTATTGTGAGCTTTCATGGGAGCAACGCACTCCTTCAGATGACCGGAGTATTGGACGTTTAAATCCAAGAATAAATGAGGGCGGGGAGGAGAAGGAAAAAAAATTGAAGGGGAGGAAGAGAAAAAGACTGAGTAGATAAACTTCAGAGGGATGGTGGAGTGAGTCTGTAACAGGAAAAAATTAAAAAAACAATTAGTCTCTAGTAGCATCTTAAAGATTAAATCAGGGGTGGCCAACCCGTTACAGGCAGACCCACAAAATAGTGGTGGATGTAGCTCAAATAGCCGAGGGGAGAAAAGTTGTCGAGCGCCGGCAAAAGGATGCTGCCCCCTTTAAATGAAAACTCCGGTTTGACTTTTTGGCCACATCAGGTTCCCGTCGACCGATGCCATCTTGCTGGCGCCATTTTGCTTCATCCGCGCCGGACAGCTCCCCTGCACCCAGTGAGCCCAGGGAACTGAGGACCCTTTGTAGGGGGGCAGGGGCAGCTTCATGGGCCGTGGGATACTCTTCGTGTGCTGCACTTTCTGCAGTGAAGAGCCGCGTGGTGGCCATCCCTGGACTAAATAGTTACAAGAGGCTGATAAGAACTCATTAGTTTGCACTTGGAAAAAGAACATGACCAACACCAGATTTTACAGACATCAAGAACCGTTAGCACCTTCATTGGTTGGTTGGTTAATAATGTGCAAGCCATCTGATATCCCGATTCAAACCATTAACTTGTCTACTCACTGTCCTTTTTTTTTTTTCTCCCCCTCCTCCCCCACCCTTCCTCCCCTTCAATTGTTTTTTCCTTCTCCTTCCCACCCCCTCTCACTCCTTCCCTTATTTATTCTTGGATCTGGGCTTCCAACACTCTGGTCATCTGAAGAAGTGGGTTGTGCCCACAAAAGCTCTTAGTCTTTAAAGTGCTACTAGACTATTCATTGTTTAAGTTTTTCCTGTTACAGGCTAACTCAGCTACCCCTCTGAAGCTTTTGCTGTGTTAAGTTAACGAATGCTTTTTTTTGTCCCGTTAGAAATGTGCCTCTTGTTATGATTAAACTTTAGGGTAAATACTGCTTGATTCTGCTCTTCTAAATATTTGTTGTGATATATTTGAGAGAACTTGCCAGGAGAGAATCTAATCTGACCGTCTGGAAATGTCTCCCTTGGGGTTCTTTTCTGTGCTTGTAATGCTTGGTCTTTCACTGGCATTTAAAGGAATGTTTCTCCTCTGATTTCTATAAAGATGCAGTAGTAATACTGAAGCTAGAACAAAGTTTGTTTGCAAAGCAGTCAGTTGGGGTGTGTGTGTGTGTGGTTTTTCTTTTAAAGCAGTTTACTAGGAGGGGAATTCCATTCTGAAACTTCCTGTATTAATCGTGTATGATGATCCCTGCTGATTCACAGTGTGCACCAGGCCTCCCTTCACAGTCTCAATACCATATGCAAATCTCAGTGGAAATTAGCTTCTACTTCCTTCTTAGGGAATTTCTCAGTAGTTGCCAAATCAGATAGGCCTATTTGGCCACTTTTGTTACAGACTTTGACTTAGTACTGGGACTCCAGGAACCTGAATGCATGATTCTCATGTGGTAAATGTCTGGATATCTTTCAACCCTGTGAGTTTTATACAATTCCTTTTTGAGTGTGTTTCTTCTGGCCACAGATGTAAGCTAATTGAACTTTGGGAGCTGAATATTTTAAAACATTTTCAATGATGTTTTAAAGAGTACCCCAGGGATAGCAGTGCTACCTGGAAGCACAGTCAACTTCTGCTTTTGTTTTGAATTAATTGGAGAAAAACAAACCTAGATATTCAATTCCCCCTGTTCATCTCAGTATCTATATAGCCCTCGCAACCGTCTCAAATTGGTCTGTGGCTTAAACCCGAAAGTAGTAAAACTAACTTTTTATTTCCTGTTTTGCAGTGTAGTTGAATCCTTTTCATCCCAAGATATAACCTCCATCTACTTTGTGTCTCAAATATATTTTATTGGATCAACTTTGAACAAGGGATGTGAAAGATTAACCCATGGTGTCCAACCAGCAGCCATGGTGTCCAACCAGTTCTGAATCAGTAGCCGCTATAGTGGCTACTGGTGAACTAGCCACACTCAATTGGCCAAATAGCCACAACTGGCTAATGGCCAGAGGGTTGGACACCACGGGTTAACTGGTAAGCATGATCCTAAATGGGTAATGCTTGCCGGTTCCAGTTAACCGGTAATTGGTGGGGGCTAGAGCAGCTTCCCACCTGCCAAGAGAAGGGG